TATCTTTGCATTTGTGTATGAATGATGCATCTTGAGGTTATTCACAGCTGTATAGATATGTTGGTACACAGTGAAAAATAGTCTTAAAGAACATTAATTTTCTGCTCATGGAACATACCTCCCCACTCTAGTCAGAAGAGTGACTAGAGGGAGAGGGAGAGATTTGCTATGAAATTATGTGCATTTCAATCTCCAACAAAGTTGTCATAAAAGCAATACTGGAGAACAAAATAGACTACAACTTCAAAATGGATTGAGGAGTACATCCTGCGCATCACAGTAAACCAGGGATTGCAGTAAAAGAGAAAAATACTCGTATAGATTGGCCCTAAGTTAGAATACTACAGGTACTTGTCCATCAGGCACTTTGAAAAGATTTTGGAAGATTTTTCAGTTGATACTAGACTACCAAAAATGCTAACAGTTACTCATTGCTGTACATCCAGTATTATGCCAACTGCAAATGCTGACATTCTTATTTTGGTTCTAACGACAAAACAATGTTGTGGTATTTTACTTTAATTATTATTAAATAAGAGTGACATTTTAAAAAATATGCATCACCCATACATAGACCTCCAACTTTATTCTTACAACTGTATAATAGCAACCTAATGTCACTGAGAAACTCTATAGGTGAGTGGAGACATGAAGCCAAGTCTCATTAGTCACTATACCACAGAGGTTCTTTTCAATAAATGTATGATCTACATATGCTATATTTACTCTGAGGTAAGCTCCATTGAGAAGTGCAGCCTGATGGTTGAGGAACAGAACACTAAAAAACCCACAATAGCTTACCTTCTTTCAGATCTGTACTGCTTCTTCCCCTACCCCACTCTGAGATATAATCAGCCGGATAGTTAGGAAAGAGGTTCTTTAGTTATTCCTCCCAGGATTTGGAATTTTTCCAAATTCAGCACACACCAAGACTGAAACAAAATTGTGGAGGCAGGAAGATCTGTACTCAGGAGTTTATTTAGATGCCACAAGTTTTAAATCGCTCCCCTTTACATCCCAAAGCACGGTATCATTTCCTCCAGTTGAATTATCAGTGGCTTTACAATATGATTTACAAAATGCTTTAATGGCATGGTTTACAAATGTCCTTTGAGGATTTTAAAAAACACAGTTTATAATACCATTGTTAAACAATGCAAATATAATCAATACATAGTGTATGTCAAGAGGGAAAGAGTTTAAAAATGAAAAGCAAAGATGGAGTCCTACATACATAGGGCTGCCTTTGTTTTCTTCAGTGATAGGGAATTGTTTGCACATTTACAATCATTTTATGCATGAAGGGAATTCACTGACATTGAAGTAAACAACAGAGCTTTTTATGAAGCTCCATCAATGCACTGAAAAACTCCACTGTGTGCATCAAAGCTACTGGATCAAAGGACATGGTTTAGGTTGCATTGCAGTGTTACACACTCATATCCAGGTAAATGTCAATGCTCAGTTCAGACTAAAGAGTGTGTGTATAGCCCCAGACCTTTCATACCGTTCTGTAATATCTCCTTAGTACAGTGATTCTTGCAGCTTAATATGGAACCAGATGCTGCCTATCCTTTCATTATAGGTACCCAGCTGAGAACATCCTCAGTGGAGATCAAAAAAGTGATGACGGAAGCCAAGACTGTGCAAAGTTCCACCCCATATTTAGGTAAGCGTGTGACACATGTAAAAGGGGGTGGGGCTTCAAGTACACAGTTGTGGCTGCCGTCTTCACTTTTTCATGTCCCCCCCTCCCCCTCCCAGCAGACCACCCTGTACCTGACCAGTCTTTTTTTTTTTTTTAGGAGTCAGGTTTTTATTTCTTGGCTACAATCACTAACATAATATGCACTTGTGTGCAGGATCTAGTTCTGAATATTCCAACTTTTATCAAAAATAGTAAAAGGTAATCAAGCAGAATGAAGACCACAAAGGCTTTGAAAACACAGTGACTCAAGACAAGGGCAACAGTGCCAGCAAGCCGCCTTCCTTCTGCTTAACAGGAATGTCAGGATCCAATACCAAATTTTCCCAAAAGGAAGACACGTATGAACTTAAGATATGTGTCTGAAACAAGGAAGATTAGATGGAAAGAATATGGACACCCACAAAGATACTGGGCCATGCTGAGTTTCCTTCCCAAGTTCAGCTGAAACTCAGGATTTGCCTCCTCCTCCTCAAATGGATATGTGTCTGAGAAAGACGTGCTTGCATGTGTGAACAGACGTCAGATAGGCCAGACCTCACATTGCTCAAAAAGGGCAGGATGAGGACAAAAAAATTAAATTCATATCAATTGACTTAATAACTACCAATTAAAATTAATTGCCTGAAAAGTAAGGCACTGATTTGTAAAATTAATTGCTTCCCCCATTTGCATATACAAACTATTCCCTTTTGTACATGGATACATACTGACATCAGATACAGTTATACACCATAGTCTTCTCTCTTTCCAGGAGAAACCATGAAAAACCAAAACAAACAAACAAACACAGACTGGAGAAGGGGTAGATCCACTGGAAAGGGAAGGAAAAAGTAAAGTGTGTGTTTGTGTGTGTTGGGGAAGGGAAATTATTCTTACCAGGTATGAATGCTTAGGATTTTTAATATTCTTCTGTCTTTATGAAATCCTGCAGTTACCAACTCCTGTTCAGGGGGAGCAAGGCAAAAGCACCCTCTCTCAGGGGACTTCATGTGTTGAGGGGGAGTGCCTGTCCCTGCCTCTGCATCACTGAAACTGAGGTTCTAGAAAAATAAGGGGAATCCATTGAAAGAGGAGACATTGCATCTATGTACTCTGTGATTTTTTTAAAAAAAAATCTTCACTCACAAGGACTCAGAAGGAGTGGTGGTGAGGAAGCTTTCAACACTTCTCCAGGCTCTCTTCTAGCCACTCATTTGCATCATTTGTGGTAGATGCCTCTTGCCTGCCCCCTCAGTTTCAGCAGTGTCTGCATCCGTGTGCTAATACAAGACAGCCTCCCATTTCAAAGGTAATTATTGGGGGGGGGGATCTTTGTCTTCCTTTCAGTTAAATCCAGTACTTTTTTTCAGATGTGCCATGTTGCATCATTTATAGATCCGAAGACCAGGTTCAGCATTGCTTGTGGCTATACGTCTGAACGTGGAGGATTTCACTTTTCAGTTCTCACACAGTCATGTGTTGTACAGTATATGCTATGCTGTAGGAGGAGAATTGTGCATGGAAACCAGTTGGATATCAGCAGCTATCAAAGTTCTAGGCTGAGACAGGACACATGTTTGTATTATCAAAGCCTTAGCCTAGCAAAATCACAGCAGTTATCTATCCTTCAAATTTAACTGTTATGTACATTTCAAATGTTTAATTACAATTTCTGCCCAAGTTTAGGATTTTAAGCAGCATTTTACAGACAACTAACTTAATACATTATATCTTGTTGAATGTCAAGAAGAGGGGTAATGGAGCCAAGGGTGTCTGGTGAATGTATTACATTGAAAGAAAATTGGAACAGGGGCTTTGCCACTCTTCTTCCTGGGCTACTACTCTGCTTAATGTGATATACTGAAATTATAGTTAACTGCAGTGACATTTACACCTTTTCTACAACTTTTAACATGGGACAGATGAAGAACTTGTTCATTACAGCCTTTGTGATGGAGAATAGTAGATGTTTATTATATCAAAGCAACTACCCAGGACAGAGATGATAAACTCATGTATATTGGTGTAAACAATATGAAAAACTCACCTTTTCACATATAATCTTATAAGAGTAAAGCCCTTTGATTGTTTTATTGAATGCTGCACAACCCTGTATGAATTCCACCTACATTCAATATTTATTGTTTGATTTGCAAACTACACCATTTTACTATGCCTAATGTTGATAAGTGGCCTGGTTTTCTGAGTAAGCTCGGGAGTGCTGCTGCTGAGAACAATATTATTTCCTCTCCCTTACTCCACAGTGGAATTTTGCCGCTAGCTCATTTGTCTTCAAAAGAAAGTGCTTTTTGCCACTTCATTAAACTTGTGACATTATTCCTTCTTATTTATTTTTTCAGAAAGATAGGCTGGGGTTTGATTACTTCCAGCCTGTAAAAGTCAAATGTACCTTGGAATGTTTTACAATGTTTGACAGCTATGAAATATAAGTACTATGTAATTTGACTGTACATACATACATATTTTCATAAATACATCCAACAGGGACCTCAGAACTAAATAGTCAATAATATGAGACAAAACCACACAGGCAGCCTTATTTTGTAGAACTTTGATCTAATCTAAAATAAAACAGGAATTTCCATTGTGATGCTTCTACACAAATTAAACAAATAAATACACTGCATTTTACTGATGGAATAATTTTAATGCATTTGCAAATGATTTGACCAAAAAGGGTGTAATTTACAACACTCAAAACTTTTAACAACCATTGATTTATATGCATTTTACTGTAAAAGTAGAGAGAAGCCTAGCAAGGGTAGTGATCGGTCCCAAAGACAACTCCCAAATATCTTCCTCAGAGACTTTGATCATTTCTGTTGTACAAAACTCCCACCTGTTACACTGCATTTGTTTGGAAAGTGGAAAATTGCATCAGTTTTCCTCACAAAAAGAATTGTCCCAGTTTTATACTTCAGTTATTGCGAAGACATTCTAAATCCACCGAGCAACAGACATTTCCATTCTGCGTAGAATGGGAAGGAAAAGACAAAGAGGAGGAATTAATGCTAGTATTACAAGTGTAGAAAATAAATCTAATACGGACACTAACAACCTGGTTCATCTATGAAATGAACATTTTGTAATTCTATTTCTAATATAAGAGAGATCAACTAAGCATTTTCATTTCACTGTTAAGATTCATTCCTGAAGTCAGAATAATGTGAATGATGTGAATTCATCCTTTCCCTACACAAATAACAAATCATGTGACCAAATCCTCTTACACAAGGAATAGGTCATGCAGAGGTTATATTTATCTGAGTTATCATCTGCAAGAAAAAAAGGAGAGGGGTGTATAATATGACTTGAATCTGGCAAAGATATGCAAAAGGGGAACCCAAAGTATCTACTGGTTATATCATCTTCCCTATGAGGAATGGTACAACATTTGGCAGTCTCTGTCTTAGAAAAAGGGAAGTATGGTGGTATGAGATAAGAGGCTACCTGGACTTTATTATTTTGCTTTCATAGGGTGATGCAATGTAGCTAAATATAAGGAAATTTAGAACAGATAAAAGGAAGTACTTCTTCACATAACATTCAATGAACATATGGAATTTGTTATCCCATGATATAATGAAAGCAATTAACTTAGACTGGTTTAAAAGGGAATTAGATATATGAAAGACAAGCACTATGCTATGAAATGGAAATGTGGTTTTATTCTGTTCCTGCACGTGCCTTTCCATAGGTATCTGATCTACATTAGACTTTGGACTAATTCAGTACAGTTCTTATATTCTTATTTCCACAGTAAATTTCCTATGATAAAGTAATATACTGTTTCAGTTGACATACTGTCAGGATGGATGCATTATTTTTATGCTCAAGAAGTCAGATAAAAATGTAGTTTATCTTAAAGAATTACACATGAACAATTTTTCAGAAACATTCTTTGTTCTCCAATTCTCTCTACTGAAATTCAGTTTGCTTATATACAGCTAGATTCATTCCACTAAACGGGGATGGACAATTTTGGAGGAGTTGGGGACCACAACCAAGCTTTCCAACCTTTTGAAGGACTACAAGTGATCATCTACTGATCAGTGATATTACTAGAAGCTATATGGCCACTTTTTTACTCTGTTTTTGCAGGGTTTTCCTCCAGTGAGGCAGCAGCAAGAAGAGCCTTGTCTAGTCTTGTGGATTAATGATGAGCAAGGGAAGAGTCCTTTGGATACAGGATGAAGGGCATCTACTACTTAATTCTGAGTAATGCTAGACTGTTGCAGTAGACATTTCTATTATTGCCTAGATTTTGAAACCACTTATCATCAACAGAATGGAGTACAATGAAAGGGAAGTTAGGAATCAAATATTTACTCAATAATGTTTTCAGTAGAGTTCCTTTGTTTCTTTTTTTCATTTTAGGTGATTCATCTTTAAATAATAAAACAGTGGAGATATTGGAATCCAGTTCAGAGAATTAAGATATTTAAAATTCCTTTTTGTTTTGTTAAAAATAACTCAGTGCAATCTTCTTAACTTTTCCTATTTCTCTGTCCACTTACTGATATTACAGTATATCTTTGGATTAATTTTTCCCACTTGTCTATATTTTTTAACGATTAACTTTAAAAATTGAAAAAAAATAACCACCATTAACGGAACCATCTCTTCATTAATTTGGAAATATCACTTGAAAGCCATGCCTTCCTGACCTTTGTTCTTCATGATATACCTGCTTTAGAGAAAAAAGAGAGGGTTCTTCCACTTAATCTTTGCCAATTCAACATATTGTAAATGTATGGCCTCCCCCAACTGGAATTCATTAAAAGGCAGGTGAGGTGTGGATGTGTATGTACATACTTAGACATATGTATGCCCAAAATGCATGCCTGTAATTAATGTCACTATCCTACATGCATCTTTAAAAAGTCTGCAAGGTTTAAGAATACTATTTTTTTTTAATTATCCTGCCTTTTTTTCATATTCAACTCAAGGAGGCAAACATACCTATATTTCTCCTCCTCCTATTTTCCCCACATCAACAGCCCTATGAGGTGAGTTGGGCTGAGAGAGAGTGACTGGCCCAAAGTCATCCAGTCAGTTTTTCATGCCTACGTTGGGACTAAAACTCACAGTCTCCTGGTTTCTAGGCCAACACATTAATCACTATACCAAACTGGCTCTTTCTACAACTACTATTTTAAAGTTGTAGAAAGCAATTAAATAGTTCTGGTTCAGCTTCCCAGGATAATAATTACATAATTAGCTTTGTGTAATTTTATTATGACATTCTCATTCTGCTGCTCCATCTTATTGTTGTCTGAAATCAAATGACAAAGTTCTTTTAAAAAAGGAATCCTAGTCTTGCATATGCATTTTGTGCTACACCACCTTTTACCACTAAATAAATACCTTGCATTTGCAGGTTGTACAAGGAGATCCAAGCATTGTCCATTCTGAACCACTTAGCCGTGTTATTCCATAGTCATCTAGACAGGTTTTTCGGATGTCGTAGGTACCATTATCAGCCAAACAAGGGTCACTGACACAATGAGGGCAACATTCTCCTTCTGACATTGCTGTGTAATCACAGTTCAGAGTTGGGCATGCAAGTGGCCAACAATCCACTTCACCTTCCTATGAAAACCAAAAGAGATCCGTCAACACACAAATTGGTACTAATGAAAGAAACTAAACATCAAAAACAACATTTTCTTCAATAAAAATATTAATATTATGATTAAGTAATTATCTAAAAATTGGATATTTAGACTGCAGTCTTGACCCAACAATTGCATTAAACCAGGGCAGAACTGGATAGCTACCCAATATTTGAGAAAATGACACTTTGAACATGGATTTTGGTTCTTTGGTCAAAATATATTTTGTCTATGTACAATAACTGGGAGTATGCCCCACCAATAAATGTGACAATAGTGTCCATGCAATGGAGAGATACTCCATTGGTTGAATCTCAGATTGTATTAAGAGTGTCAAATATCCTTTTTATATATATGAACTACTCTATAAACTAAGTTAACAGGATTGCTTCATTGAATAAACCCTAAGTCAATGATGCCTGTAGGGTAACTTAAAGAAATGTGCCTTAAAATCTGCTTAATGCTAAATAATTAACAGGATGATTTTATATATTGCAATTATATAATAGCATATTTAACATTATTAATTTTTCATAAGCCCAGTTTAGGCCACCCAGAGTCACACACACACACACACACACACACACAAAGAGTTTTATAAAATTATAAACCCTGTTATATAATTTGGCAGTCCAAATGATATAATGTAGAATCTTTCTAATATCTAGAACTGGTATCAGACTGAACTGGAGTTTTGTGGAACCTCTTTTTTCCCATTTGTGAGCAACAAACATTTTCCCTCTTCTATTACATAAAGGTTGGCATATCATCAGCAAGTTCTTTCCTGGATGCAATTAATCTGATTCTGAAGTTTTAAATTAATTCAAAATTGACAGGTATTCTTTTACTGTGTTTTATCAGGTTCAGGGTTCAATACTGACCCTTTATCCCACTCTTTATAGTTGCCCGGGAGAACATATGCCTTCTTGTCAGAGAAGACAGAATTTAAAATCAGCATTGAATATGGTTTTCTTTGTTTTTCTTACTATTTTTTTATCAATCTCTTTCTCAGATTACATTCTAACATTCACTATTTTAATCTTAGAGTCACAGAAGTTTGAAGTTAAATCCACCTTCTCAGCAACTTATTCTATACATTGTACAAAGGGAAATCACAGAGGGATCTTCATGAATTCAAAATACTCGTTTGAAAATAAAAAGGGAGGAAAAAAAAAAAGAAACTTGTAACCCCCATCATCATGTCTACTTATCACAAGCGACTTAACCTGTTAAAGCAAAATGCTTTATAAAGCATTCTTAGTGTTTATAAATCATCACTCATAAACACTAAGAAATGACATAGTAGTTATGAATTCATACTGTAACTGCCATCTAAGGATGTGTTGATAAATAATTTATTGCATCACTCTCCAGAATATACAAGAGACTTACTATAGCTTTGTATAATTAAAAGCACAATGGAACCCAAGCAAGATAAGGTGTCGTAGTCGCTGGAGATGAAGGTAAAGTGGGTCAGCCTACCCTGAATAAGTACAGGGAGAAGCATTGTAAATACCTGAAAGCAGTGACACAGAAGAAAGTCCAGATCTGTTGAGTCGGTTGGACTCAACGACCAGTGTGGTCCCTTCGAACTCTAAAATTCTATAATTTTAGGATAAGGAATACTATCATTTCTTTGAAGAAGCAACAATTATGTCATAGACATTAATATTTATTTTGTAGTCAGTGTTTTACTCAAACTTGGAAATTTCCAAACAATTTTGGAAAAGTGCACCATCATCCATAGACCTTTCATTATTCTAGTTTTGTGATTTTGCAAGATCAGACAACCTGATTGCAATGCTCCTAAAAGTATATAGATAGTTTGTGAAAGAGCAAATGTCTTTACATAATGGGAAAATAGGCACATTACACTCCCTGCCATTATAATGTATTGATGTGTGATAAACTTGTTCTATTTGGAGTCCCTACTTGATCTGTGCAATTCTGGTTCCTATTACAAAGACAGAAGATTACATGAATCAGATTTTTCATTAGGTCATCTGCAGCATGCTACCTCATTTACAAAAAGTGTTATCCTGACTCTATGTGGAGCCTGTATGGAAAGTTTCTGCTGTCTCTTTGGAACCCCTAGGAGTACTGAGTAGTTATTTTAAGCAATGCCTTGATCAATCAAAAAGACAAGAACAAACCATGGTGTAAGACTCTGATTATATTATATTAAATAGCTATAATTGCCCTAATTTGATTGCAATAAGAAATTGTGTGAAATTAAAATAGGAAATATATTCTGCTGAGGTTTGCTAACACTTGATTTAGCATTATATCAGATGGAAATCTGGTTGTTCAGAATATTTTTGAAGACCCATTTTTTCTGTTGAGAAACATGATTAAGTCTGCAATTCTATATCCGTTTGCCCAAGAGTACGCTCCATTGAACTCTATAAATAATTACTTTTAAGCTGGTATGTGTATGATTGTACTGCAAGATATTTAGTTTTGACTGAGACATACACTTTCTTATTAAGTCTCTAGACAACAGCTACCTGAACAGGCTAGATGTTAGGTAAACTATATAGCAATGTTGTGTCAAAAAAGAATAGACATGTTCATAATGAGCATTCTGAACTTTGGAATATGGTTGATCATTAGAAACTCTAAAACCTCTTTAAACATTTTTTGACTTCCATACCAGACAGCGGCACTGTTGACAGCTGTATGTCCAATTGTCACCACTTCGGTACAGCTTATGCCCATTCTGATCTAAACACTGACTGGTCACTCTGGTATCACATTCTGGGCAACAGAAGAAATCAACACTAAGATTTTCACAATCACAAGCTGTCCTTCGACAGAAGATCTTGCCATCCTGTTAAGAAAACAAAGAAGCAATATAAAGCAAATGCTACTAAACATATATATTTACATATATCAAATTTGCACCCATCTCACGACTCTGGGCAGTTTACAGAAAAGCTAAAATCAATTTAAAAAGCAATATAAAAGAGTCCTGAATAAATAATAAATATAGTCCAAGAACTGATGTTAATTGGCAAGTAGCTCGGGGACCATCATCAGGGTACCAGCCATTCCCGATTAAGGTTCTTGTTACCCCACGCAAGCTGGCAGAGCCAAGTCTTTAGTCCTTTCTGGAAAGCCGGGAGTGTGGGGGCCTCCTGCACCTCTGGAGAGAGAGTATTCCAAAGGACAGGGGCAATGGCAGAGAAGGCTCTCCTCCTGGGCCCCATCAGCCAACATTCTTTTGCTGACGGGGTCTGCAACATGCCCTCTTTGCCTGACCAGGTGGGATGGGTTGATGTGATAGGGGTGTGACAGTCCCTCAGGTAACCTAGACCCATGCCATGTAGGGCTTTAAAGGAAATACCAACACCTTGAATTGGACCCAGAAGCAAACTGGGACCCAATGCAGCTCTTGCAGTAAACATGTTATATGTGCCATTCTTGGGGTACCCAAGATTGTCTGCGCACCCGCATTTTGAACCAGCTGTAGCTTCTGGATACTCTTCAAGGGTAGCCCCACATAGAGTGCATTGCAATAGTTTAACCAAGAGATGACCAGAGCATGAGTGACTGACTGGAGAGCCTCCTGATCCAGGAAAGGGCATAACTGGTGTACCACACAAAGTTGGGCAAAGGCCCTCCTGGTGATGACTGCCACCTGCTCCTTGAGCAGGAGTTGTGAGACCAGGAGGACCCCCAGATTACACCGGGTCTGTCTGGGGCAGTGCAACTCCATCCAAAACCAAAGATGGTAAATCTTCAAATACAGAGGGCCCTCCAATCCACAGCCACTCTGTCTTACCAGGGTTCAGCTGAAGCCTGTTGCACCCCATCCAGACCCCCACAGACTCTAGGCACTGGAGAAGGGTAGTCACGGCATCACTCAAGTCACCAGGGATGGAGAGGTATAACTGGGTATCATCTGCATATTGATGATACCTCATCCCATGATGGTGGATGATCTCACCCAATGGTTTCATGTACATGTTAAAAATGAGAGGAGAGAGTACCGAACCCTACAACACCCCACAATGGAGGGGCCATGGGCTGGACCTTTTGCTCCCAATCAACACTGATTGGGATCAGCCTTGGAGGAAGGAAGAGAACCAGTGCAAAACTCTGCCACCCCCTCCCAACTCCCTAAGTTGACCGAAAAGGATACCATGGTTGATGATATCGAAAGCCACTGACAGGTCAAGTAGAACAAGGATGCACTACTCCCATCCCACTCCCACCAGAAATCATCCATGAGTGCAACCAATGCTGTTTCCATCCTGTATCTGGGCCTGAAACCTGACTGAAAAGGGTCCAGATAATTTGTTTCCTCCAGGATCATCTGGAGCTGCAATGCTTAATTAACACATGAATTAATGAAATATTTGTTTTGGATATGTGAAGGGGCAGCAGTACCCGGCTCAAGAAATAAAACAATACAATCAAACTGAAGTTCTGTGTCCATTATGAAATAGGAATATATGAAATATCCTCTAAATGTTCTGACTTCAACCATCCATGTTTCTGGTTTTCTTCAAAACTGAAACAAAATGTAGGTATTCTGATTATCCTGCAAGTTGCAATTATGTTGTTGTTTTGTGGCTGGTGATTGGATATTTTCTTTCAGTTTTTCTTCAGCCTAGCCAGCACAGCAGCAGGGACCAATCAGGACCCTGCAACTATTGGTTTAGCTTAGATTGGTGAGCTGGGCAGCAGTTAAGGATATGGCCAAAGAAAAGAAAACTAAATACTTGTCAGACATCATCATCATCATCATCATCATCATCATCATCATCATGAGATGGGCAGTGACAAGATAGATAGATAGATAGATAGATAGATAGATAGATAGATAGATAGATAGATAGATAGTTAAGATTATATGAGAGAGTTTGAGTTCACTCTCAGACCTGTGGATTATATGTGCTTTTTTTTTCAGCCAGCAGAACAGTATAGTTACCAAAAACAAACAAAACCTCCCAAATCTATTGCTTGGCCTTGCTATGTAGGTGGGACGATGGTGTCTACAGAAAAACTGATTAAAAGGATGATTTTTAAACATGTTTTAAAAACAATAAAGAACATTTCATAGGAATGTAAGGAAGCAGAATTTGTGCTTGCCTGGCTGGGCTTTTTTATCTCCAGGTTGGAAGAGGTTCTACCTGAAAGGAATGTTAATGAGATGTTCTATTGTTAATGTGTTGGCTGAACACTCCAGGATTTCTTGAAAGAAAAGAAGTTAAGAGGGGCGGTGGTTCTGATAAGCACATCTAGTCTAAACTAAATTATTCTCAGCTGGTGAGAGATGAGCATTGTCCACATTGTATCCTAAGCATTATTGACTGATTGAAGTTTTGAGAATGCTTCTAAAAATCACTCTTTTGCAAATTGCCTGTCTTGCCATGTCTTGTGGCTCTGGGGTGAAAAACTGTCACAGGTTCTATTGTTTTCTATAGGCATTTTAAATGGCTTTGACTTTTGTTCCATGAAAACGTTTTGACTGGGACTTTTCCTTCCAAGCTTGAAACAAAACTTGTATATTTGTGCACAGGTCTATGCATTAATTACAGCATCAATCAAAGAATGTATTTGGTTTTAGTTTCATTTTTTCTTTTAGTGTTTTGCTATCAATCTAAAAGGTTTTATATATATGATCAAATACCTTTGGAGCCAACCTAAAGCAAATCACATAATTGCATTTATTACTCAAAAGAAACAAACAAGCAAACCCAGTATCAGTTTCCTTCAAAGCCAGTCATGCGCATTCTTTTACATTCCCACATTAAAAAATCATTACAAAGGCAGCAGATAGTTTGGCATTAATTATATATTCACTAGATTGATGTGTTTGTCTTTCTTGGTTACTGGGCAGCAACTATGCTAAAAAAGTACATTCATATGGCATTCACTGCTTAGAATAAATGAATAAATATACCAATTATCACAATTGTGCTGATTTTGGAAATACATATTAACCCTGCTTGTGGGATGTCTTGCTTATTAAATAATTCCTACCATCTCAGAGGTTTCAAATATAGGGCTATTTATGTTCCAACAGACTTGTAAAATATTTCATTTTGTATTGTTTCTCCTGCTTTTATCTTTTGAGCCAAAATTCAAAACAGGGTTTCTTTCAGTTAGCTTAGCATCTTTATGACAAATTTTTGTCCAAATAATTATCTAGGAATACAAAAGGTTGTCTTACATTTATTGATAAGAATTGGAGATGCTGCTGAATGGACAGAGGGGCCAATGGGTACACTCAGAAAAATGTGGATGTTTTTGACAACTAGCCTGAAAATTAGCCTTTGTTTGGGGAGATGCTGCCTTCTTGCTGAATTTAACCCCTTTTGTAAATCTAATCTGGACTTCCCTTCCCTTCCCTTCCCTTCCCTTCCCTTCCCTTCCCTTCCCT